GGATTCATCACCCATAGGTACTGAGTCATATTCACTATTGTAACTGCAAATTACTTCGCTACGCTCATTAAAGTTGTATGCAATCGATCTACACCTACTAGCGCGACGTATAAAATGTTCTGTTCTAGTTACCTACTCGTTTTTTAGGACTGTTGACAGGTTTAGGTTAAATTTACATTGCCTCGGAAAGGAATGAAAGCGAATTTTTGGAACAAAATTGCATTTTTTTGGTGAAGCAGGTGAACAAATTTTTTTTAGGAGATTTGGGGAAGTCATTTACTAGCTTTAAACTCGTAATATGTTTATTACACGTATATGTATGTACACTACGTATTTTTATTTAATAAACGAGATGTTATATATAAATGATCTTTTCTTCATCCTGTACAGTTCTCTAAATTGAGATAGTACCAGTTGCCAGTTCACAGTCGATATGCTAGATATGGTAGCTGCGTGAAGACTGCGCGAGAATTCAAAAGAAACTTCAAAAGACGCTTTTCTAGTTAATTACCGTATCTAGTTTGTACGAAACACATAAAATGTGCCATAATACATAAATGTAAATGTAATATAGTACGGTTACAAAAATTCTACTGCGGCCCTGTTAGGCATTTTCCTCCATGTAGTATCGTATAAGTATATGTGTAGATATCTATGTGTATCTTTACATAACGAATTCATTTATTTTTCGTAGGTTCTGTCTTCAAACTTACGACCTTGGGTTACTTTTGGTTGTAATAAATTACTAGTTTTTCGAGATCCTTAATCCATAATTTTGGGATATAAATCATCTTTAGTAGCAGTAGAGCTCCTTGTGAAAGTTTGTCCAGGGAAGTACTGCCACCTTACCTATTTCTGCCGCCAAGCACTAATGTCAGCATTACCGTATTCCGGTTTTGAAGGGTAAGGGTGCTGGTGAAATTACAGCCACATGGGACTTATCAACTTATCTCTCAGGGTGACGGGCGCAGTGGTAGTGCCCCTTAGATCTTTACAGTTTAAAGCTCTGAGTGGCAGTATAACTGTTAAGGACAGGCGTGTAGCTTACCATCACGCGCAGGACTTGCTCGTCCCGTCACTTGATGTTATAAAAAAAAAAAGATAAGCTTAACATTAACTAGTTTTACTGTTAATGAGCAATAACAAAATTCTAACCGATGATTTTTTTTTATAATGTCAGCTAACGGGACGAAGAAGTTGTTGTAAGCGACACGCATCGACACCTCCAATGAATGTTTTTAATGTAAACAGCCTTATTTTATTTACTAATTAATATTATGCTCCCCGAGTTTTGAAAAAGAACAATTAATTTTTTGTTCGTCCCGTCACTTGATGTCATAAAAAAATCGCGTATATATTTTTTTCAAACTAACCAAAAGTTTCGGGCCCTTTACAGGTCAGCCGTGACCTTGGGATTTAGCAAGCAAGACACGGTGGCTTCGATGAAGCTTCGCTTAGCGGGCGCACTTCATCGAAACAAGTGCGCTTGCTAAACTGCCCTCTAAATTAATTTTTCTATACTACAATACTCCGTTTCTCGGTTTTTACCTTATTCTTTTTCCTCTTATCACTTTGACCTTGAAACAATTAAAGATTTATTACTAATAAAATTAGCCAGAGCTATTTTTAGTGCTCCAATTAAGGCCTTCATTGGGGTGTGCCACCAACGCCTATTTCCAGCACCAGAGCGGACACTGCTGTGTACCAAATTGAGGGGTGTGGAACAAGGAGCGCTATCACGGATACAGGGAACATTAAATGTTATGCTAGCAATTCATTTAGCTGGCTATAATAGACATTGGTGGGCATAGGTTGAACCGTCTGTACATAAAAGAGCGTATCTATGCGAAATCTCTTTGTCTTTGTATGTTATGTTACGTACGATGGAGTACGATTACGTATAATGGAATTTATTTTTTAGGTTTTGTTACTTTGCGACATCGTACTGACGCGGCTGCATTGCGATAATTTCGTACTTCAACATAACTGACTACAGTTTTATCATGGTGTTATTTAGGATTAGTCAGCTGACTAGAGTACGATGAGTGCACATCGAGAATGCCATTTCTATCTAAAACTATAAGTAATTTATGATTTCCGGGCAGGCTTTTTTCTAACTCATATGAACGATTCGATGTTTCTAATAATTTCTAATGCCGCGCAGTGATCCCAGGTTCACATGGTCATATCTATTTCTCTCGTGAGTTTGGATGTTTAGCCTATGTGTGATTCCATGGCACCCGCGACCCAGGATTTCCCTAGTGTGGGCCTATGTTGAGTGTGTGTGCGTTATTGTTATTATATAAAATTTCCAGCGTCGATATAAGGGTAATAAATTCGTCGATGTATCGAAATTTGAAATGTCTTTGAAATGTGTGAAAAATTTTGTAGTAAGAACCAGCTATCACTGTGTCATTAATTGCCCAAATATTATGTATACCTATCTATACAGGAAAATGCTTTCAGTATGCACTCGGTACAGTCGATATTTCATCGTCATTTTTAAGTATATATTTTAGTCTAGAAATTTATTTATGTTAAATACTGTTTTGTTTTCAAACAATCTACCCGGCCCTTTATGCCCTTCAACGGTCACGGCTGATTGAGATGGTAAAGTCATCAGCCAGTTGTATACAAACCACCCTATTTAAAAAGTTACAAGTATAAATACCTTATTTTTAGTAAATGGAACTATTTTTTTTTTGATGAAAATCGTATATATTTCTTTTTTTCAAAAAAACCAACATTTCGGTCCCTGTACAGGTCCTATGGTAACGGCTTCCTGCGCCTGTAAAGAGACCCGAAACGTTGGTTTGTTTTGAAAGACAAACCAACGAACAATAGATCCATTTCCTACGTATAACAATCGCGAAAACCTAAGAACACATTATATCTTATTTTTAATTTACCAAAGAACGTTGCAATTTATATGTTATCGGCGGAAGAAGTTTCTAAACCATTGGGAATCGAACGCGTTATCAATCACAGAATAGAACATTCTATACATACCTAAATAGATCACAAAGCGGCCTTGACATTCAAGCGAGGATTATGTCCCACGTTTATAGCACTTTGCAAACTTGTCAGTATGATAACATCATAATTTACGAAACTTAATACGTTTGTCACTAATAATATTACATTGGTAACGAAATTGAATTTTAGCGTAATATTCCGACAGAGCATGACGTAACGTCCTTGAAGAGTCCTCTATTTCGCTGACGACACCTTGAGGGTGTGGTTTTGGTCTGCAACGGTGACTCATTTAACGTAATAACGTACACTCTCAACATAGCCCCGCGCTAGGGATAGATACCATGTGTCGCGGTTGCCATGGACACACACGTAGACAACCACAAATTACACCCAAACTCACGAGAGAAATAAATGTAGGCCATTCAAATATTTCTCCCGACCCGGGAATCGAACCTGGGACCTCTGCATGGCAGTCCTAGTAATAGTAACCGTTCGGCCACGGAGACAGTTAAAAGGCGAATGTAATTATTACATAGTATGTCATTTCCACTAGTTATCATTATATAGGATCAGAGAAGAACAAACCTTGTTGTTCCGTGTTGTTTATAATGTCGGAATATGTGAAGAGAACGACAATGTTGAAAAAGAGACACGAATTTGACTTCTGTGCTGTACTCGATGTTATTGATTCTATAATAAACAAATAAATATTAGTCAACATCACATATGTTGGTCTGATCCCAAAGTAAGTAGCTAAAGCACTTGTGTTATGGAAATCGGAAACAATGACAGTACCACAAACACCCAGACCCGAGACAATATAGAAAAGTTAGTTTTATACACTGACCCGGCCGGGGATCGAACCCGGGACACTATGAGAATCGGTGTGCAAACCACTCGACCACGGAGGCCGTCATAGATTTAAATGAATGATGTTGATTTTTAACTTGTGCTTTAGCCTGCCGACCCTAGATCTGTGGAAGAAGGCATCGCCATCGTGTCGAAACTTGCATATCAGTAAAAGTTCATGAAACTGTTCGAAAATGTGTGATGTTCTCATTCTGGACTAAGACGGCCTGGCCGGTGTCGCCTGAATCCCTATTTTAAAGAGACCCTTGCTCGTGCACCTTTGTAGCGTGGAGGTGATAAAGCGGTGATTGTATATACACTGCATTCGGTTTCATCACGCTTGGATTCCATTTTCCATTAGGTAGACTGGGGTCATCCGCCTGTCACGTAACAACAAAGAACTGCCGTACCTGGCAGTTCTGTCATAACTGCGGAAGATCAATTTTTCTCAGGTTTCAAAAGCGAACATTCTCCTCTAATACCTTTAGTCTGCCTTTTCATACCACAGATCAAAAATTAAACTGGTGTAACGAAAATACGGTGCTTAGGGCAGTTAGACCGGCGTTGGACTATACATGTGTTGATATAGATTTCTTATCTAATGTGTCAGTTGACCGTGAAATAAATCCTGAAGCAACGTCTACGTCTACGCGTGTTAGACTAGCTTTACTACAATAAATCACTTGTGTGTTTGTCTACCCGTACAGAACTTGTTCTTACCTTTCCCGGTCGACAACGCAAGTCGTATTAGAGAATGCTTTCTCAGTGTCGTTAATGTCTTAAAAACATAACAAAAATGGTATCCAGCTAAATAAAAACCGCGTTCTCCTTAAAATTTTAAAAGGTCCTAAGGAGGCGCTGGACACAAAGTAATGAAGGCAGATCCGCTGCTTGTGTCTACTTCTGTAGTGAATCTGCCTGCACTGGCTGACCACGATCCTCAGACTCTGATCGACTAATAGATTTTGCTAAGTAGTCTTGGCGATTTCAATAGTTTCATTTCTGGAGGAACTTGTGTTGAACATTGGCAGGTTCAGAATAAAGTTGGCGAATATAATTGTTTGTTTCTGTACGTCTTCATTACAGTATAGGTAATATTCTTTAACACAACAAAGTTATTCCTGTTTTAAATAACACACTTATCCTAGTGTTTAAATCAGTCTTTTCTCTTACAGGAAACATCTAGGCTTCATCTTTGACGTGGCAAACAAGGGGATTACGATAGAAGACCTTGACCTCGTACAGATCAAGTTGTTGACTGACGCCAGTAACATTCAGAGGCTGCTGAATAACCTTACTGATCTTCTGAGTGAGAGATTCGTTGCTTCTCCTCAGGGTAAGTTAATTTTGTACATCTATCTGTGGAAATGTATAATCGTCATCATCATAATCTATGTAGAAATATATATGCAGCTTAGATTACGATAATTGACATATCACTGAATTATTATTCTTATATTATTTGTTGATATTACTGCCAGTCATGAATAAAAATTCTCGTAAACGCTGATTTACTCGTAATTGTGCTTCTACATGATATTAATCATGTTGAGAATGTCTTTAAAAAGATCCCAGGTAAATAGTAGCAAGAGTAAGCGAGCGTATATGAAAATACTGTAGTGAAGGAACCGAAAGACGTACACCAGAACCGTAGCGTGTGGAGGTCCCGTAGACTCTGTGTGAGACGTAAGGTATCACGATAAATTTGTTCAGGCAGTGTCCCACATGAACGTAAAAATATTAGAACAAATTACACTTTCTTTAAACGTACTCAATGCCACGCAATATGATTTGTATGGATTAGTATAGTATAGCTCACTGAAACGTATGGTAAAATCTTTATTTTTACTTTTTTAAAACGAATTCATTTAAATGTTTAAATTCAAATCAATACTTTGATTTTGGCTTCATGTCTTAATGTAGTAGCTATAAATTCACTTCTCTGTAGACAATTGAAGATAATACTTTATGACGTTGGTAAGTTTTTATCGTTCTTTGACATGTTGACAGCTTTAAACACAAAACCCAACTAATCCATAACAAATATGTAATGTTTTATTATTACATAAAAGCGACATTGTTACCCTATTAGCAACAATGAACGTTCCGTTTCGTTAATAGATGACACCTGTTTCCAAATTAATTACCTGAAGATTAGACATTTATCAAATATTATTATCATTTTGCTTAAATAGAACCGAACTGTAAATGCGCTTTGGCAGGATAACAAGAATGTTATTCAAAATACGCCTTCGTAAGCATTAAAATGTCTTGTTACCTATATATTTTTTTAGATATATTACTTTTTTTTAATGGTTATAAACGTGGACGCAGTACAGTTCCCTGGGGGAGATTCTCACCAATTGTTTGAGAAAGCCTAACATTCACGGTTGGAAGAATGCATGAAAAGTCTGTTACTGTTATTCGTAATCACGATGTAGATCCATACGTATGTGCATACGGTTGTATTTGGTACGCTACGTGCGGCTATGAAAGGTGGATTGATGGTGTAAAACGCTTCTGTAAAGTCGAAACTCACGTAATTGCTTGCAGGTGCTAAGATAGAAGTTTGTTTTATATATAACTCAACGGTATTCGTGGAATAAGTATAAACTGATTCTGTTTACCGGGATTTTGGATCAGTAATAGTCTTCTTTATAGGTCATTCAGTCAGTTCATTAATGATTTATAAACAAATAGAAAAGCAAAGAATGAAGCTTGAATACTGGCAAATTTATGTGCTGTAACATGTATAATTATGCGAACTTAGCATTTCATATCACTTAACATAATTTTATGTTATATATAATCAACAACTATTCCAAAATCGCATTGGAATCGTGAACAATCGAACATTGGGCGATGCGAAATCATTGATTTACATAATTGATCGGTGCGCCAATGAGCACTTGTTATACTCGTATCGCCATTGTTAGATATCAATATCACACTCGAAATTTGAAGTTCAGTCTGTATTAGGCAAGTTGGACTATGGCCCTGGTGATCTCACTTTAGAGATTTCGAACTACAATAAGTTTTTATTTTATAATAGTTGGTCATTTTTTAATGGCTCTATCAATGGTATGTGTATAAATAATAACATTACTACACATAACTGAAGACTGACGATGTTGTAGTATCATGTTTCTACCAATATTTGCATTATTTTTAAAACGGACTTGTATTGACCCTCAGTACCTTCCCTGTATTCACTTCAAATAAGGAAACCTGTTAAGCACAGGGTCGTAAGTTCGGTATTTGTTCGAACTACTTCCACACTTTACTTTTCAATGTTAACTACTGCGTCTCACGTCTCTTATTTTCTTGGCTATTGTTTGTTTTTAATTAGTCTGACTTATCTTAATTTTGTTTTCGTCAATATTGTATTTTATTCGATTTCGAGGTTTAGAATAAATGAAGTTTTCTAAATTACATTCTCTGGAAAACCCCTTACTATAGGGAATTCCCTATAGCGAGGTCATGTAGTTAGTGAATAGTAGGGCACATTGTAACTGAAACTCCTTTAGCATTATTTTAAAAGACAAGTTTATTATATGGAGTATATAACACGGATTCTAGAATAACTAATTTTCATTAAATACAACGACACTCGTATAGTTTCAAGGTGAAACAATTTAGGTCCAAAGTCGAATCTATTGTAACGAAGCAATTGTCATTTAGAAACCTCTTGTGCTGACGTTAATGTTATTGGAATTATTTATATGTAGTTTGAACAACGTAATTTTCCTTTGTGGCTGCAGTATCCGGTATTTTTCTATCGGTTACATTTCGATTAGTGCGTGCATGAACTTTTCAATTCAGTTTCTTCCTTATGCGTACGAGATTTAGTATTATTCAAGGTTAGAGTGAGTAGGCATCAGACAAATGCGTACCGCTGTAGCATCATCCCTTAACATCAGGTGAGATTAACAACCAAGCGTTGCAGTTTTATTTATAAAAATCTAATTTAGAAATATGTTTGTTTTAATTGATGAATTTGTATGGTACATTATTATTTGCAGGATAACCTATCACAAATTCGAATTTCTTTTTTCCGAAATTACGTTTGTTCGAATTTTCATTACACCGAAAACTGAATTATAACGAAACCGTTGTTCTTTCAGGATATGTTGGATGTTAATCGCAAAGGCAGGATTAGGTGCGATTAGGTTAGGTTTAAAAGCAAAAAAACTTTTCCCTCTCAAAATTTCTTTGAAGGTTATGAAAATTCGAGCAAACGTTATTTCTGGATAATGTCATTTCGGAATACTGATAACCTATTTGCAGATGTTGTCTAATGAACTATCTTCCTTATTTCTGTTATATTTCCACGTTAATGATGGTAGTGGTATTGATAATAATAGTGATAATATCGCGCTATTCTACTTTGAAACTGTTTCTCGACATGTCACTGATCATTATCAATTGTCATTTACCAACGTTATAACCTTGGAAGTGTGTGTTACAGTGGTATACTTTTATATGAAAATTTAAAAAAATCCGATTTGTAAGCTAACAATGCGTCGAGATCAATTTAATGAGCCTAAACACTATAGTTCTACAAGTCGATCAGACAAATAGAAACGTAATATATATTTCTTTTATGACTGAGATCCCTGCACCGACACTGGGAGAAGAGTTGATGGTCTTTCATCGAATGTATAACCAGAAATAGAGACGAAATAAGGGCCGTCCGTCTCTGGCAGCTCATCAGGCAAATGTGTGGGAAAAACAGCAGAACATCTAATTACAAAACCAAGGGAATCATATTTCATCGGTAATTAAAAATTAAATATGTAATTTTTCCATTTTTGTTCATTACAGCAAAGCTCTTAAACTGGTAGATTTGAAGTGAAACAGTTGACGACACCCGTCAATTGTTTCGAATTCGGGCTGGCCAATCGGAGCGCAGTTGTCACTGTAATGATTTGGCAGAATAGTTTTCAAACAAGTTAAATGACATTTCGTCTCTATATCTGGTTTTATACAATGGGTAGCGCGTACCATAAACAATCGAATTTTGATTCTAAAATAAAAAGAGCGCCTTTGTGATATGGTTTATGAATTGTAATTTATAAATACTGGAGTAGAAAAATATTTTAAAACAGTCATGATAACCTAAAACATGGTTCCCTGAAAACATTTTTCGAAATGTCGCTTAGAAAGGGCTTGCTACAAAACATGGACGATATAAATAGCCATACGGAGCCTATGTATGCTTTGCCATAAATTGTGATAGATGTAGGATTACTTACATACTTTCATACAAGCGCGGCGTGTTCTTGTTCTATTCTTACTCCCCGGTACCGGAGAATCAGTAATAAAGTCTAGCTATAAAATATCCGAGCGCTTCAGTTTTTTATTAAAATAATTCACACATCTACTTTGGATGTGAGCTACGCGTTTCACAATAGCTCTCCGTGCAAACATAATGTGGGCATTCAAATTACATAAACATGATTCGTTGTAGCAAATTGAAACTTTATTTTTAATCGCATACTCTTGTTTTAAAATAAGATACATTATGTATCATCGCACTATTTAGAAAACACGCTACTGTGCACTATGATCCAAAATTTTAATATACAACACGAGTTCCTTATTCTAGATGTAGAAACTTATTGTTTTCTTATGTACACAGATAATATTGGTTCCTCAGCGTTTTGTACAGTATAATTATGGATCATAGCGTCTTAAATTGTACTATACAAGACGCTGAGTTCGTTGTTCTAGATGTAGAAAGTTATTGTTTTCTCGGACCTGGAATTTTTTTGTATTATGTACACAAGATGTAGATAAGTGAGATAAAAAGCTTTATTCGCGTAAAAATAACTGAACAAAAGACGTTTGTAACCTGTTAGAAAGACCTAAATAATACGAGTTATTTATAACTATTATATTTCTACACAATAACGTAATAGTTACGCGAATATAATGCCTAATTATCAGCTCCAGTGGACATCCGGTGTGCCAGATAATTTCCTTTGACCTCGCTAAGTTATTGATATTGAGACTGGTAGCCCAGATCGAATTCAATTGTACTGATGACTTTACAACGACAGATGCCGCTAGTGTCTGCCTAAAATATTTGTATCGAAAATGTTGCTTATTGTGACCACTATAGAGGCGCTGTACAATTTACTTATTTTATTAAAAAAATTTTTTTTTTTATTATATCAAGTGACGGGACGAATATGTCGTGTGACTGGTGGAAAGCTACAAGGCTGTCCATAACAGTTGCAGTGCCACTCAGAGTTTTAAATCGCAAAGATCTGAATGGCACTACCATTGCGCCCGTGACATGAGACATAAGTAGACAAATCCCATGTGCCTGTA